GACATTTAATTAATTAAATCTTGCTTGTACCCCCGCTGATATAGAGATTTTGATTAAGTTACATTTTGTTCTGCTTAGGTATGGGAAAATAAGGGGACAATTGTAATTTTTAAAAATGTATTCATGATGTTCAATGAAATGAATCAGCTTAGAAAAAATATAGTTTAGTAAAAAATAACTTTTACCTCACTAGATATTGGTAAGGCAACCTAAAATGTAAACATATTCCGCCCAATGCCTCTTAGCTATTGCTTAAAGATATAAAAATAAATCAGACCCTGAGACTTCTCAGAGGGAACCTGAACATTGCTTGTGAAGGTTCTTTTCTCATCGCCGGCCCAGGACATCTCCCCTTCCTACCCTACATCGACCGCAGCTGGTCTGCGACACCCAGATTCCCCAGACTCATTGCTCCAGCACTGCAGGAATGGAGTCCTGCAAATGAACCTCACCTGGTCCAGGTGTTTCCGGGGCTCAGGAATCCAAGGGCCTCCAGAGCCCCAGTGGAGGTGAGTGGAGGTGAGCAGAGACTGCTGGGGGCTTTCTGAGGCCCAGCGCAGCGCTTGCTCTCACTGACCCCTAGTGGGGCCTGAGGACAAGGAAATGCCGCACGGGGGTGGTCCCGCAAGGAGCGCCTTACACTAATGAGGTCATTTAATACAACTCCCTTCTCACCAGGACGCAAATGGTCTGGGCTCGTTATGGGTCTGAGAAACCCAGGCAGAAGTCTGTGGCCCAGACACAAATGTGGGTGGGGGTCTGGGCCAGCTCCTGAGATACAAACAATTGCTGTGTTCATAAGCAATTATTTCCTTTCTTTGAAAAAAAATTATAGGAAGGGCCAGGGATTTAGCTCGTGGTTCTACCACCCACCTCGTAAGCACAAGGTCCCGAGTTCGATCCCCGGTACCAAAAAATAAATAAATAAAAATCTTCCGGCCTGACCCTAAACCCACATCTCCTTGGTGCACTGCCAAGGAAGCCTCGGGAGAGTGGTGGGAATCATGGGGTTACCCAGCACTCTGGACTCTTGATGGGGGGGGATCTCACAGAGCCCAGGAGTGGAGTCTTGTCTTCCTTGGAGTGGAAAGTTTTTGCCAGGTGGGGCAGAAGCAGAACATGGAGTACAGGGAACTCTGGTAGGCAGCTGGTGGCAGAAATGAGCTCAGGTTTATGCCCTCACTATTTAAAGAGTGGCTGCTTCCTCATTGAGCTCGTTGGAGTTCTCAAGCAGAGGTCTCCGACCAGACAAAGTCCCGGGAGAGCTTCCTCAGGGAAAGGCCCAGGCCCGGCTCCTCCTGGCTCTGGCTGCCTCCTGTGGGCCTCAGCAACCAGGGCCTGCCTGCAGGTCTTCACGCTTGGAAGCGCTGGGGAAGATGCAGTAGGTGCATCTCTGTGCAGTAGAATTGTTCTTAACCCAGAGGTCTTTCTTCATGTAGGACAGACTCTGAAAGGCAGCCATCCTTTCTGAAGCAGCTTTGGAGAACCTGCAGCTCTGGTCATTACAGTGCACAAAGCTCCAGACCCACAGAGCCCCCAGGCTTCCTTCAGACAGGCCCTCCCTGCACCAGGGGTCCTTGCACCTCTGATGCATGGGCTGGGAAGAGGAGCGAGGAAGCAAGAATGAGGCACTAATTTCGTGCAGAAAGTTTAAAGGGTACCCCAAAAGTCAGTAACAAATATACATACTGTTTTAATACCATATGTTAAAATCAATGCAGAAAACAATCAAATTTTTAAGTAAATTTTTAAGTAAAGAGGGGAACTTACAGGGCTGGGATTACAGTGAGGTGAAGAGGTGAGTCGTTGAAGCGAGGGTCACATCTCCCTCACCAGGGAGAAACTTCTCCCCTCCTGCCTGTCAGCCTCGGTCGTGCCACTAGGGGGCGAGCATCTACCACACAAAGCTCCAGTCGAGCACGTGGCTGGAGGAGCTACCTGGGTGTCTTCTGCAGGCTGTTTTCTAGATTCAGAGCCCAAGACAGAGAAAGAAAGAGCGCTTTAGGCCCGTGGTCTTACGCAGCCATCACCCTGTTCTGAGAATAAGAAAACCTGAGCCTCGCCTCTTCCTAACTTTTTCACATGTAGGAGTTGTAAGCCTTCTGCAAATTGCAGGCACAGCCCGGGATAGAGCAAGGAATGCCATGGTTGTCCAGGAAACAAGAAATCTGGGCTCCTGTCCTGCCCTGTCTTCAGATTCCTTGTGTGGCTATGGCCCTGTCATTTAATATCTGGCGGCCTCAATTTTTGTTTTGTTTTGGTTTTGGTACCGGGGATCGAACTCAGGACCTTATGCTTTCGAGGCAGGCGTCGGAACCACTGAGCTAAATCCCAGGCCTGGCCTCAGTTTTTTTGTTTGTTTGAGTTTTTGGGGGGTTTTTTTGGTCTGGAAAATGGACAGTTGGACTAGGTGATCTCGGAACCCATTTTGACCCTAAATATTTATCTTTCTGTCTCTAAAACAGCGGTAGGAAAAGAACCGAAGATTCCTGAAACATGACTTAAAACATGGATGTATCTGGCCAGCCTGTTCTGAAAGGTTGAAGTTTCACACTGGCCCCACTCTACCCTTCTCCTGGACCTTTTAAAGAGCTGCCGTTGTTAGGTTTCCTGACTAGAATATAAATAACAGCCAGCGTTATTGAACATTCGCCATATGCTGCACCTCGCTGTGGGGGCGCCTTCCACTTCCCTACATCCCCACAAGCAGGTGCACAGATTGCCATCATTGCTTTACAAGTGGAGAAATTTGTCCTAGAAAGAGGTGAGCCAGGCATGGTGGCCCAGGCCTATAATCCCAGCACTCTGGGAGCCTCAGGCAGGAGGAGAGAAAGTCTGAGCCTCTCCTGGCTAACTTAGTGAGACCCTGTCTCAAAAATACAAGGAGAACTGAGGATGTGTCTCAGAGCAAAAGCCCTGGGCTTGATCCCCCGCACAAGGAAGGAGGGAGGGGAAGGGAAGAGGAGGGAGGGAGAGAGCGGGAGGGGAGGGGAGGGGAGGAGAGGTCAGTGCCAAAGCCACCTGACCAGTAAGCAGCGCTGCCACCTGGAAGCTGCTGTGCCAGCTGCAGTGGCCACCGGCAGCCTGCAGGTCCGTCTGTGAGCAGCAGGCGCTCCCGGCCACTCTGTGTTTCCTTTTGGGAGGACAGCAAGAGGAACCAGAACTGCCCTGACTTTGAAGCCTTCCCGAATGCTAGGGAAAGGCCCCAAATATTTCCCTCCTCCAGAGCTTTCCCTCAGCAGATCCCCCAGGCACTGGCTATGAGGAAGCTGCAAGGCCCCAGTGGCCCTCAAGCCGGCCAAATCCGCATGCATCTGGCACCTCAAGCTACCCTGACCTGCAGAGCAGAATCCCCGGGGAAGCCCTCCCTCCCTCTCTCCCCAGCTTCCCCAGTCTGCCCTTCACCCAGTGCCCTGCTGAATCTAGAGCAAGGCCAGCCTTGCCAACCCTGGGCCTTAGGGCGGCGGAAAACTTGCATGGGAGAGACTGGAATTCTGCCCTTAGAGCTACTGAGGGGGACACTTGGTGCCCTTGTGCCCATCTCCCCTTTCCCTGGTTTGGCTTCCACAGCTGTCCCCAGGCCATGCCAGCACTGAAAAGGGCACTGTAAGGGTGAGTTTGAAGGCCACAGCCCCAGTTTGTCACTCCTAAGGGGCTTGTGAGACTCCCAGCAGCTCCCTGGCCGAGGCTCACAAGGCCTGAAAGAATTTCTGAGAAAAGGCCCAAAGATGGCTCCTCGGCAAATGACTTCTTCAGGGGTTTTTTGGGGGGCAGGGGGGGGGCTGAAACATTTTTCATCTGCTTCGTAACTTTATCTCAGACTGGCCTTGACTGAAAAAACAAGAAAAATCCAGCATCTTCCCTGGCATTATTTCTTGTCAATGCCCCTGTGATCATGTGAGGCTCTCTCAGCCCCACCCCACTGGTCTTGAACCTGAGGCTGACAGGGACCCAGAATGGCTTCGCAGTGTGAGATGCCTACACTCCACTTGGGGCTCCCGTAGCCCGAGAAACACACACAGGGTATGGGTATGGCTAGTGGAGATCAGAGGCCTCTGGGGTGACAGGACTTGCAGAGCAGAGCCACCTGCCACAGGGAACAGAGAAGACTGTGTGTCCACTGCCACAGGGTGGTCCGGGGGCAGACCACAGTGACTGCTTTGTGTGCAGTTCTCCCCTAGTAGCCTTTGAAAGTTTGTTTCTCCATTGAACCCCAACTATGTAGTAAGCACTACCACGTTAGACATGGGGGACTCTGAGATGATCAAAACTCAGACATGTGGGGTTGGGGATTTAGCCCAGTGGTTTCGCCGCCTGCTGCGCAAGCGCAAGGACCCGAGTTCGATCCCTGGTACCAAAAAAAAAAAAAAAACTCAGACATGTGTCTGACCTCCCTGAGCTTAGGGTCTCGCACAGGCAACAGCCAATGGATGAACGACCACACAGATAAATGCAGAATGGCAGTGGTGGCTTGACACCAGGAGAATGTCAGATGAGGGTGTGTCCGGCAGGCTGTCAGGGAGGACTTTTCTGGGGGAGGGACAGCAGAGCTGAGCGCTGCAGGGTGGGAGGAGGTAGTCAGGGGAGGCGGGTGGAGAAGGCTTGAGGGAGGAGGGATGTCTCAGCCAAAGGCCTCAAGGTGAGGGAAAGAGGGAAAACCTGCCAGGTGAGGGGAGTCCCCCAGGCCATGGGGGTGCAGGAGGAGCAGAGGGTCAGAACCCAGACCTCCAAGGCTGGCAGCTCCAAGGAAAAACTTCTGCCTTGACCCTGAGAATAACAGAAAACCACAGAATGATTTTAAGAGGGTGGGCAACACCAACAGACTTGGGCGTTGACAAGATTACTCCTGCAGATGAGAACATTTCAATGCAACCTAAAGAAGAGCTTGCTCAGAAAGCTTCCCGAGGCTCGGCCTTGGGAAAGTAATAGCAATAAAAGCTAATGCTTCCTGGGCTCTCACTAGGAACGAAGCACTGTGCCAAGCTCTTTCCACGGATTGATATGCTTGGCCTTGAGGACAACACATAAGGCAAGGCATTACTATGATGCATTTTTTTTTACTGATGAGGAAATAGAGGCTCTGAGGGGCTCAGAAAATTAATTGAGGTCACCCAGGTGGGGAATTGCAAAGCAGCATTTCAAGTCTCCATTTGTCCAACTGCCCGGAGGCTGCAGGGCCCGCAGCCCTGGCCCTCACCTTGGAGTCAGCTGGGTGCAGCATTTAAAATTCTCATCTTTCCCCCACTCTCTTAGAGACTGTGATGCAATTAGCATAGAGGGCAGCCTGGGTACTGGGAATTGGGGGCCCATGCTAAGTCCATTGTGCAGCCAGACTGAGACCCTCAGCCTATGGGGTGGGAAGACCCGTTGGGGAGCTCCTGCTGCACAGCCATCCCTCTTGCTGCCCTCAGCAGCCTCCAAATCCCGCTCAGATACCCCGTGACTTCATGTCTCACCGGCACTGCTGCCGGAAGAGCCTCTTCCCCAAGGCTGGATTCCTGGGGCTGACAGATAGGGGCTGAAGGACACTGGTAGCACCGTGTTGGCACAAATGGCTGGGCAAGGGAGCCAGGCCCACAGACCTGTATCAGCCCTGCCAGTGCCTTCCCTCCCACCCAGACACAGCCTGCAGACCTGCTGAGAGGAGGAGAGACGAAGCCTGCAGATCCACAGCACAGTGGGTGCCGCTGCAGCAGGGACTGGTGGCCAGGGAAGGACCCCCTCCTTTGAGGACGTCTGGAGCTGTGGAAGGCGGAGGACCCTTCCCCAGGCCATGTCTGCCACGCCAGGGACTGCCATGCCTGAGGGTTGGGTGGTGAAAACCAGAAGGAACATCATTCTCATGTCCATTTGGGCTCCTTGACTTCCCCAGGGTCCTGCTGCCTGGGACATATTGTGAGGTGTGACCTCTTCCTCTCTCCAGCCACACTGGTCTCTGTCACGGAAACCTGCCAACTCATTCTCCCTTCTATGCCTTGGAACAGCTGTCCCTGGGCTTAGAATGCCCTCGCCCAGGCACTTGCCTGGCTGCTTCCTCCTCCCACAGGCCTTGGCTTGGGCAGCATTTCCTCAAGCAGCCTTCTGTTGCCTCTCCAAGGACCCATGCCTGCCACTCCATCCTAAGTGTGTGGCCTGCTTGATTGTCTTAGAATGGGTATGTATTTTTATGTATGTCACCACTTCCTGCTAGAGCATATCAAAGCCCTGAGGCAGGGACTCTGCTACTGCATAGTCCAGAAGAGAGCCAGCAACCAGTTGTGATGCACAGAATATTATGGGCCCTGGGTAGCCTGGGTACCAAGGCAAACAGTAGAACTTGTAGGTAAGAATGAGCCACCTTAGGGCCGGAGATTTAGCTCAGTGGTTCTGTTGCCTGCCTTGCAAGCTCAAGGTCCTGAGTTCAATCCCCAGTACCAAAAAAAAAAGAATGAGCTACCTCAGGTGGTGGCACACACCTGCAATCCCAGCTACTCAAAGGGCTGAGGCAGGAGGATTGTGAGTCCAAGGCCAACCTGGCTCACTTAACAAGACCTTGTCTCAAAAAATAGGAAGGCCCAGGGGAATGTTGCTCAGTGGTAGAACACTTGCCTTGGGGTGGATACCATGTACCACTAAAAGAAAAAGAACAAAGCACTCTGGAGGGGCTGGGGATTTAGCTCAGTGGTTCCTGTACCTGTCTCGAAAGCACAAGGTCCCGAGTTTGATCCCCGGTACCAAAAAAAAAAAA